TACCTTAAAGGGGAAGAAATTAATTAAAGAGTTCAGTGATCAAAACATTGGGGTTTGAATTCGTGCCTCCCAGTTCCTCAGAGAGCATCCTTGGGCTGTCTGCCCATCCAGGTCATGGAGTTCCCCTGCTTTTCATTGGAGCTGGTGTGGAGTATTTATCTGGGTTTCAAAGAAGTAGGAGGGTGAGCTGGCCTCTGCTGTCCAGTGGGACTTGCATGCTGCTCGAACACCCCATCAGTCAGTCATTGGATAAAGTGCATTTGCTGTCCTCGGAGCTGTGACTAGGATTCTGGTTTCTCTCTTCAGGCAAATGTCTGTAAACACACACACACACAAAGGTGCACATGCATCCTCTCATTTAACAAAGAAAGAAACATAGTACAAATACTAGTTGCAAAAGTTCAGTATCTTCATGCTAATGTACACAATTGTCTCTGTGAATTGGGACATATTGCTGCTGGTTTCAGTGTTTTGTTTTGTTGCCTTTTGAATTCCAAATCCAAAATAACCTAGCAGCTGTGTGTGTAGGTAAGCAAATCTGGGTAAATAATGAAAGACTTTGGGGAATGGTGGCTCAGATCTGGTAAAGCTCAAAGACACGTAGAACCTCGAGCAGCTGCTGAAAAGCTGGAGGGGTTATAAGCAGCCAGTGAATGGCAAAACATATAGATAAACAACAACATAATACTCATTATTCCTAACTTAGTCTCTCAACCTTGAAATTAGTGGAATGTGTTATTGTTTGTAATAGTACTAGCATTATTTATTGCTTGTCAGATGATAGGGCACAGAGATCCCATTGTGATGCTGTGTAAATGTGTAGTTAAAGGGCTGCGTTTGACAGTAAAAACTCCATTTTAAAGCAGCTTTTAAAAGTCCCAATAATTAACTGATTAATAAATCTTTATGTAGTCCTAGAGCATCCATAAAGTAGTCAATAGATTATTACTAAACATAGCAATTTACAATTTCTTCCACAGATGTGCTCATAAGCATTTATAGTATACCATATGCACATGTGAACCTGCCTGATAGTAAGTATTAAATATTAAACCTCAGTAATTAGATTGTCAGTTGTAGGAAGGAACTGCCTCTTTTCTTCATGGGTAATATTAAAGAACTTAAAGGCTGAGCATTTAGCCGTGTAAAATTAGAAGACTCTCAGGAAGGCTATGTAGGTGAATTTGGCCAGGCCTTGAAACATGGTGAGTATCAGCAGCTGTAATCAATCATTACAAAGACAGGTGTTGAATACCTCCTGAAATCAACCAAGGTAGCTTGCTTGCTGCTGAAAATTTTCATAGGTCTTCCAGTATTCCAGACCCTAGTTTTTGTCAATGTGTGTCATATTATAGTGATGTCTATGTCATGCTGCTGAAATTTTGATACTTGGGAAACATAATTTTGAATTTTCAGGGCTTCATATGTCAGCAAAGTCAACTGTATACAGATTTTAATTTGCCGGAGTTTGTTACTGTGATAGATATGTATGTTTGCTTGTGGCAGTAACCTGACGTTACATCAGGGAATAGAAGCCTTTGCATACTGTCCCCACATGTGATAAAAGAAAACATCTTCTGAGAGGGAGCTTAGAGTCTAGTATCAAGAGTAAGCACTGGTTACTTTCGATTGATACAGTTCCTGAAATTATACCCATTACAATAATGTTTTGTGGATTTTTTGCTCTCTTTTTTTATGCCTACACAGTAGCAATGTATATGTTTGCTTTAGCCCAAATCACTCTGTTCTCATTTTCAGAGGCTAACACAATTACTACTTACTGTATTGATAGTCTCAGGGCTTTTTTTATATGTTGAATCTCTTAAAGAGTCTGCTCTGATTAATATTACGAGCATCATACAAAAGTACAGTAAAATGATACTAAGAAAATATAATAAGGTGAGATCTATGTATATGTATTTTTTATTTATGCCCGAGAGTTGTGCAAAGACACTGATACCCATTAGATTTATTTGTAGCAAGAGTGCTATCTCAGTAATAAAATTATAAGCTTGAGATGGGTGATACTGTTACCTACTTCAGTGTTTTCCTTATATTTTTATTTATGTTTTTGCTGTGACAAAACTTAGTAGAAGCTGAGAAATACGAACAGCATATATACATACAGCATAGTTAACTGATTGTTTCCACCTTTTAATGATCATGTTTAACTGCATTATTTACTACTGCTGTCAGTATGGTTTGATTCCTTTTGCCACTTATATTCTTTCTATTTGCCTTTTGATTTGCTTCATTGTATTATATTATTACACAGTAACATGAGTAGCAGTATTCCACAGCTAACAGTGCATGGTATCTCTGAGATCTGGTAGTGTTGTACCACAGAGACAGTTGCTAAAGTTGCATGATTTTTTTTTTTTAAACCTTGTGTGCCTTATGACTGATAATACTGTGCTGAGATTCCATTATATTTTTCTAAGGTTTGCTTTTTTCCTATGTTTCACTAGTTCTCTCTCCTGAGAGAGAACATTGCATCTTCATCCAAAGAAGTAGACATATACACACTGTAAGCAGTAAACACAGAGTAATGGGGGAAAAATTTGATGTGTTTGTCTTTTTAATGTTTAACTGCGATGTTTAAATATACTATGTGGCAATTTTACTTGCCTGATGATAAGTAAGCCATCCATATCCCTACTAATGTGAAAGAGAGAAGGAACCCTTAATTTAACGCTCCTGTATAGTAGTTTGACTGTTAAAGAATACTTCTTTCCTATATTCTTCTATTTCACTAATATTAAGAGTGGTATCTTACAGTGTTCAAAAGCATGGATTTACCCAGGGATGTAAATACGACTGTTCTCTAGGCCTCAGGCTCCTTGACCACCACTCTCCTGCAAGGAGGGTCATACAGTGCTTTAGAAAGTCTTTCATTTTGAAAGTTCGTAGTGGTTTAAAAAATACTCTGTATGCTTAAAATAGCATAGATTGTTCAGTGTGGTTGTTTTTTGGACTAGTAGAATACTTGTAATAGAGCAATTGCCACAAGGAAGGGGATGACGCAGTCTCACCCCTCTGCACAGCACAGTCCAAAGCTTGCTCACAAGCCTGTGCATCAAACCCACAGCTTCTGCATTACCATTCCTTTCCAGATGTTACCCTGTCGTCCTGAAAAGGCTTTAAAGACTACAGAAATTACTGTGCACACAAGATAGTTGCTGCAAAGATTATTTTCTTTGATAGTTATGTGTCTGCATTTACTTTTAAATCTCCATTTGACTAGTTTCAGCTTCCAGCAAATGCTTAGATTTTTCTGATACCTTTTCTTTGAGATCAAAGACTCACAATTAGATACTTTTCCATGTAGATGCTTGCAGGCTGGGGCAAAATAATTTCTTTGCTTCTTCTTAGTTAAACCAATTGCTTCTTAAGCCTCTGGTGAAATACATTTTTCTAGCTTTCAGATCACTTGCATAACCTCTTTGTGAACCTCATCCCATTTTTAGTCTTCTTTTGGAGTTAAAGAGCAAGAACTAGAAACAGGATTGCAATAAGTGTCTTGCTGATGCTTTGAACAGGAATAACCACATCTTCCAGCTCCTACTTGATTGTGCTTCCGTATATGGATGCTAAGGGTTGCTTGACCTCTTAAATGCATTGTTGTTCAGGAACTTCACGTTCATGAAGGTATCTGTTATAAATGCTATTGCACTCCAGGGTATAACCTCCCATCTTCCTAGTGTGATATATATTCCTTGCTCCTAAGTGATAGATTCTGTATTCTGTTGTATTAAAACGAGCTCTGTTTTTATGAGCCCAGTTAACTAAGGCATATGGAGCAGTATGCATCACTGGCCAGATTCCATTGCTAACCACTCCTTTGAATTCAGTCCCATTTTTATTAAGAGTGTTATATTCTTTGTCCCAGCAAAATTTTTGATCAGTCTATGGATCTAGACCCAAAATAACTACTTGAATCCTAATAAGGACGCTTCCTTTCAGTGAGGAGGTCAGCATCTCTAAGAGCAGGGGATGTGTTATTAGCATTTGTTTAGCTCAGATCATTAACAGGAAAATCAAAGGTAAACCTAGAGTAGGGATATAAAATACTAAAGGATAAATTCCCTTGATTATGAATCTTGATCTTCCTTTCCTAGCCTGTTTATACCTGGGGAATTTAGTTGAAGTCTTGTCCTGTGAGGTCAAACTTTAGCAGCAGCCATGAGCAGACTTGCCTATAGCAGTTGATACAGTTGGGCTACATTTTGATGATGTTTGGGGTTTTTTTTTT